AGACAAAGGCCGAAGCACCACAGACACACTTCAAGGACAAACTCGTATTTGTAAATAAATCTAGTTAGAACGGCCTCGGCCAAAGTCTTACATAGCCTCGAGCTCACTAGACTCTAATGGAACAATAATAATAATAATAAGAAACAACTCCCTCAATCACAGAAAGGCCTCGTAAAATATGCTGAGACCTCGTTCGACATCTTAGCACTCAAAGGGTCGCAGCTTGATTTCCTCTTCCTGCTAGCTTATGCTCATATAGAGCCTGTAAGTCTCGAAAGGTTCAACGAACTCTATGGAAAGTACCCGCAGTATGGCCGTAAGGGTGCTAAGATCAAATCAATGATAAACCGTTGGATGCGCAAAGACAATGAATTATCCAACTTGTCTTTAGAGTACGAGAGTAAGAAGAAGAAGCGAGGATTGGAAGAAAATAATGACAATCGTTGTAGTATGTACATACATTCATGGGTAGAAAGAGGTAAACTAATCATGAGCAGCGAAGAGGGTACGACAAATGCCAGCACTCCAGACCTCTTTCAATCCTGAGCCACTATATAACATTGGCTCCAATTTCAATGCGACGATGGATGTTATCACGGGACTCCCAAATTTCGACTACAACTCATCAATTTATGGCTTCCAAGCGAACACCATGCCCACGAGCCTGCCTGACTCGACTTGGACAGCGAAGCCACCATCCTGACCTTTTATTAGGTTACCTTCGCCAGGATCTTTACGATCAATCGTGTATTTGAGGTCTTGTGTAGATTCGACAATCACCATGGTGTAAGAGTAGCACCCGCCAAGAATGATCACGCCTGGGCTCTAGACGAAGCCGAACGCGTGAGAGAAGTCCTTCCTAGCTTGCTAGTTCTGCATCTCGAATATGAAAACTTTTACATACCTTGCTGGTCGTTTGCTTTATTAGAGTTATGAGTTCTGCGTGCTGCTCGATGTTGAAGATCACACGAGATTTGCCTGGAGGAATTTCGACGTTACTTGCTCAGAGTGCATTTACTCTCGATCTTAACACTACTTCCTCTACCTCTTCTAAACGTTCTATTTTGATGCCAGATTTCATTGTGTGCTCAAAGCACGATGCGACGGGGTGGTGCTCTGCGGTGTTATGAGGAGTGATGAATGACGTGGCACCTGTGTGCGCAGCGCGCGTGACGTAGCTTGGCATGACGATGATTGGTCAATATGACCTTGTTCTTTGAAACCTGAAATATGGCTAAAAACTCGAGCTACGGGAGACAGTAACTACTTCTGATATGATATCTGCAGGATTGCGGTCACCATGAACAGGTCTCCTCGGGCGAATGCTGGGCGATGTAGAGACTATATTGTTGAGAATCTTCGATCTTTATAACTTATAGAAGATTATGCTTCAGCCTTGCGTAGCCTGTGCACATCTAACAGGGGCTAAAGAGGTCCTCCAATTGACCGGTGAGATCAAAAGAGGATTATTGGTGCACCTACCTAGAGCTACGTGTCACCACAATTCCTTCATATTCGTATCGTTGTATCTTTGTAGAAAGACATGCATGAATAATAGTGGAAAATGGCGGTGTGTTTACATTCAGCGGCTAGGTGGCGAAGCGCTTTGGCGGCTTACTTACTAGCCTGGCACCATAGTCGCACTGCACTACTAGTCTACAAAATTTTTCTATCTCTTATATTTCTACTACCTTGCTATTCTATGATAACGCCCCACAAAAGGTCAGATTACTGTATTATACATTAATGTTGAACATCCACAACGCTCTTACTAGTCCACTCCGCTATCACGCGCGATCATAGTTCGTCATCTGAGTCGACCGTGGTCGGAATAGCGGTCCTGATTTTTTGTTTTCCAATAGAATTAGTTTTGGCTGCTGGGCCATCACCGTCATCCAGTTCTAGCTCTTGGAAAGAACCCTTAGTATCGATATCAGCGCCCTTGTTAGTACCCGCATAGGAGCCTCCAGCCGACTGACCATCAGGAAATAGCCAAGGTGTCTCTTCTCGATCCTTTTGGGTGAGAGGTAAACCAGTACTAGGATGCAACTTTGCTTGTTTACACCTATCTATATACTTTGACCGTGTCTCATACTTTTCCACTAACGCTTTGAGGTGACGTTCAGCACAACTTTGCCCTACAAGCTGGACGTATTCTGTTCTTGTAAGCCATTCCTCCTAATTGTCTTTGTATGTAACTCGAATGTAGGTATCTAGTCGACGAGGCTTCGATCCCGAGCGTGGTGTATAGCCTTCAGGTCGGGACATCACAGCACACGGCCTAGCAGTTTTGAGGAAGTTAGGTATGCTCTTCATGCGCTCCTTTCGATCTTTGAGATTGAAATTAGTTTCCATGTCTTTCCTCTTTGCGAGGGCTTCTGCCCCACCAGGACACAACTTAGTGCCCTTGATGATCTTGTGATGCGGTTAGTCTGCTGTGCCTGCATTTACAACAAATCGAGTGAATCTTAGGTTATCCGTTCGACAAGGGCGGATCGCAACTATGGGGCCATACTTGGTGACCCCATTTTCATACTCGAACATTTCGATTACATTATCTCTAGAAAGGGTTTCGCTAAGTGCTTGCAAGCCTTTCACTGTGGAAATATCCAATCCTTTAATGCCTAGTCCTGTCGCGACTGGCTGAGACACAGGCTTGGGGCGATTGTTGTTGTGGGTCGTTGGGTTGGATGGGCCTGCTTTCGATAGATCGACCTGTGGAGAACTGATATTCGACTTAGGGTTACTACGTTCCGCTAGTTCTTTGGTGTTTGATGAGTCTGTATCGAGACTCTCGAGGAGATTTGTAGCTAATGGTTGCATAGCGAGAAGTTGCTTCAATGAGTCCTTACTTGCTTCTGTTTCTGTGCTGTTTTGATCCTTCCAGCTACTGGCCATTTGATACAGGAGCGATAAGGGAAGAGCGTTGATAGTCTCGGGTATCTCGTTCCTCTTATTGCTGACTTGCATTTCCTTATCGTTCCGTTTTAATGCTTTTAAAGCAAGATCTACCTTCTTAATGTCGTCACTGTCTATCATCTCTTGTGTGGTGTTGATGGTTGTCACAATTTCTCGTATTCCAGGAGCTGCTAGTTCCCAGATCTTTTCTTGGTCTTCTGTGGGTCTACTGAGCTCGTTGACGATCGTCTGCCATTCCTTTCTAGTTTTCTCATCGTAGTTCACCACTGAATCGATCATTTTCTAGGCTGTTGGTGACAGTATAGACTGCAGCGGGATATTCTAGTCTTTAAGCTTCTCTTGCAACATAGCAAAACCTCTTAGTAGTGAAGTCCTTTGGTGTTCTTGCTCTATGTTGCCCTCCATAGCTTTAATGGTATTTATGGACGCAATTATACCTTCCATGTGCCCGAAGATCTCAATTGCGGGAAACCGGTATTTAGGCAGATAATCTTTTTCCACATAGTATGAAATGACCTTCTGCTAAGCCAATTCTTTGATAGTTCCTTCCGACATCTGGCTTTCTGGGTTCTGCTTTTTTTCATCTTCTTTAATAGATCGCAGGATAGCCTGATACTTTGATTTGTATTTATTGCGATCTTTGTTTATGCTCTGTATGAGCATCTTGTTGCACTCCTCTCTAATCTTTGCTTGTATCTTATTGACCTTTTTCTTGTGAAAAGCATCTAGTTGTTTGCCGCTAACTTTCCACTATCCTTTTACAAGCATATACATGCTCTTCTAGTGCTTTTTAATTCTCTCTAGTCTGATATTTGGCTGACGATTATTGCGCTGCTCAGCGCTAGCGAGTTGCCCCTTGAAAAGGTCAGGCTGTACATAGCCCTCTGTCTGTTGTTCACTTTCAGGAGCAAACTCTTCTGTAGTATCCCCAGTTCCTTTCCATGTTCCCGCCTCTACGTCACTCTCGTTTTCCGTATCTAGATCGGACTCCTTGTCCTGTAAAGGTTGATTTGCGTATTTTTTCAAGCTCGATTTAGAGTGCTGCCCTATCTCTTTCCCTTTTCCTTTGTCACTGCTAGGCCCTGAATTATTATCTGCCTCTTTTTGGACAATTTGTGTTTCTTTTTCTTTCCCTTTGCTAGACCCCGCGGTAGAAAGTGTCACTTCGGGCTCAATTTTCTTGACCTTTGCGTCATTTTCGTTTGGCTAGTTGGATCCATTATTGCCAAATAGATTCAAACCGAGATTTGGTGCGACTAAGGCCATGATCTAACGATGTGTTGATATAGTGGAATGTATTGAAATTGAAGGATAATAAGATGACTATACAGAAGGATATTAAGACCTGCTCAACTTACGAATCGAAATGCTCTGCTAGAAGATAGGCTTTCCAAAGAGCTAGTTTTATAGAGATCTTACACAAGGTGATTTTGTCCGCTGTATGCATGCGGTATACTGAATGCAGAAGTCAGAAACTGGGGTGCGACATGCAGTAACACAGGTGCAGGGACAGAGCACTAGCAGCCCTGGCTTGGCACCCGAAAACAGCCATAGGTCACACTATTCCGAACACCGGCACTTTTGAGATCAGGATAGTGCGCAACTTATCAAGAGATTCAGCCCTCTTGCTTAGCCGCAGAAATTATGGCTACTATTCGCCTTCGAGTGTTTTGCTTCGTAAGCACTGTTGTGCTGGCTTTCACAACAGGCGCTACTATGTCTCCAACGCAGGTAGTTTCGAGACAGAATTGGACGGTAGAGCCTTCATCCCACACACCCTATACCACTGCATTCGTTTCAGGTTATCTTGCACCACATCTACCATGGAACGATACTTCACCTCATAGTTGGAACACTACACGCATTTTGCAATCAACGGGTACTGCATCCGTGTCTCGACCCACATCCACTGTCACTGTTGGCGAAGCAGGCTAGCTTATTTTCTCACTATTATCTCTAAATGCTTCTCCTAGCTCTATAATCGCCTTTAATTTTCTAGGGCTCAACCACACATTGACCCAGAGCGATATTTGGAATCTATGTCATAGCAATTAAGGATTTAACACTGGATTTCGACAGTTTAATCCAGCCAATGTGAGTGGGAAGTTTGTTGTCGAGATCGAAGTTACCAATCAGGACGCGAAATGGTTTTTTTGTGCTCAAACAGTGAAGCGCTCTTATTGCTAGGCAGGTATGGTCTTTAGTCTCAATCCGCATGGAGCGCATGATCAGTTTCTGCATAATGCCTTAGCGGGAATAGGTATCACATCAACTCCAACAAGGAATGCATGTAGCCCACCATCAAACTATCCAACAGCCAATACAAGCACCCATATGGCACCCACTGGTACATTGTCCGCAGGCCCTAGTAAGAACTCGACCACTATATCCCCTCCAATCTTCAACTCTGCAGGCACGACGGTGAAGTTTGGTGTTTGGTTCGTGGCAGCTCTGGCGTTCAGAGATGTCAACAATCAAGCTGAGTCAAGCTCATCAATCAAGCTGGATTGACTTAACGGTCAAGCTGAGTCAAGCTAAGCTCATCAAGCTGTATCAAGCTGTATCAAGCTCGTCAAGCTCATTAAGCTGAGCTTGATAGAGCTTGATGAGCTTGATACGCCCGTGCGTAAAAAAAGAAGAATAACTATGAACTCCTTTACGTAGGCTACTAATCTATAGTAACGTTAACTCTTACCTCTATCTCTAATACTATACGTGTTAATTTATTATATATATCTTCTTATCTTACTAATTTCTTGATTGCAAGCATGCCACCAAAAAGACGCGTCCAAGCTATTGTTGCTACCCCACCGAAGCGGTCTTGGGGCGTGCCCCGCGGTACTCTAAGCCAGCCTATATCTATCGAAAG